TATATGGTGATTTCTTCTTAGTCTTGTTCTAGATGTACACTGCAGTTTAATATAAGTTATCGTACAGGTTAAAACATAGTGATATAGCGTGTAGCACTTACTGTGCCACACACTCTCTATGTATACTTCAACTATTATTGCCATGTGAATTCACCCTTGTTTGAATTCTCACAAAATATTGACGACACAAATTTCCTGAAAACTGATGACAGGCCTGACTGCCCCAAATCCTGGCCCAGATTTGGGTCGGCCGAAACCTTACCCTAAATTCTTAGGGCTCAGTTCACAGTCAATCACAACCCCCCGCTACAATTGCATGTCACCTTAACCTGCGTGACGTGCCATCGTAACCTTACTGTATCTGAGCACCGCCGCCTAAAGACCCCTGCTCCGTATACGTCTGAAGAAAAACTAAAGTAAAAAAATTCACCTATGTACACGTCCTGAGTACACGCGCGTTAGACTTACTTTCCACCCCCGCGTGGGAGGTGGAGTTCGGCCACCCTACTTCACCCTTGAGGATTTAATAACTGCAACTAACGACGTGCTGGCATATCCACCCCGTCCTCGGACAACTGCAACTCGCCCCAAGCCCGAAGGCGACCACGTCTGTATCTTGCCGATTGCGCAAAGGCAAAACATTTCTCTACCTGGCGCTTGAAGTGCACCCACTTCTTCTCATCCGAGAACATGCGCTTCAACAGCTTGGTGTACCGCTTGTCAAGCACATGCTTACTCCCAGACCCCGGTACCAGAGGTGTGTAGCACTCCAGGTCCGCCTCATCGCACCACATCTGCCAACGGCTCCAGACCGAACGCATGGCGTTGGACCATGTTCGGGCATTCTTAGTACGGCGCAGGCAGTGTCCTACCGTCTGCTTGCACCCGTCCTTAGAACCACAAAGTGGCGAATGGTACATGAGCCAATCCTCAAAGCGACCATTCGGGCGATAACGCATGGGTGTCCTCGCATGTGCCTCCTTCGTGAACTTCCCAATATGCAGTTTCAACTCCGCCCGAAGAAACTTGCGTGCCATCTCCACCACGTGAGTAAGTAGAGCTTGTACCGATACCACCTTCGCTGGGCCACCCCGGCGCGCTGACAGGTCATGAGACTTGCCCCGCAATCTATACCAAACCTGCGAACCGACCGGTAACAAAGTCACGTCTTCACGGCTGATGTTGGCACGACTCTGTTGCTCCAGCTGAGCCCGAAGGTCCCGCACCGCCGCAACGGCATCGCGGACCGCCATTCTCCGACTCGAGCAGTGACAGCACCCTGTCCTGTAACTCCAGTCGCTTCTGTCTGTTGATTTCAAATCTCTGCCAGTCATATGGAAATAGGGGGAGAAACCTGTGACAGAATTGCGCGTAGCGTTGTAGATCCGCACCATCTCATAAACCAGGTACAACCACGCACGCGGAGAGTCGTCCGCAGCCTATCTCCCGGCGCAACCAGTCCTTCATCGTCCTGATGAAAGTCTCTGGTCGCCCGTTGCTCTGATGCCGATTCACCGTGATCCAGTGCGGTTCAATGTTGCGACGCTCGCAGAACGTCGTCACATCCCCATTCTTAAAGCCGCGCAGATGAGCCCCACGCCAATACTTGTTCCCCTATGAAATGAGCCGCTGAGGGACCATCCACGTTAGGACCAAACACTATCGCGAACATCATGCGAGTCTGCGTGTCCACCGCTAGGAGCACCTTGGACTGCCCATTGACCAGGTCAAAGTCCATGAAGTCCATGCTAATCTCTCGCATGGCTTCTTCTAGCTGCGGTGGCTACTGGAGCAAGCCCTTCTCCCTGCCCAAGTCATGCGACACCGCCTGGCAGGCGTCACAACTTTGCCGCACATGAGTGCACATCTCCATCATGCCACTCCAACCCCATAATGTGCGTACCAGCTGATTCAACCGCTTGGCATCCGCATGCACAAACAGCTCGTGGGTGTACCGTACAATCCGTTCCACGATTGTACCCCCCACCTCAAAACCAAAGACTGAACCTTCATCGACTGAAGCCGATCCCATTTCAAGTCTTCTTAGGGCTCATTCACTGGATCCTACTCTATCTTAGTGCGCACCTCGGCACTAGGAGGTTCTAGAACCTCAGGTTCATCCAGATCCATGTCGTTCTGAGCAGGCAACGTATTAACAATATTGACTGAATCCCTGTCGCCGAGTTAATTTCGGGGACTTCGCACTCTGACTGCGCGTCTACATTGCTCCTAAAACCCCCCCAGCCTGGGACTTATCACCGTTCTCCAGCTGGGCGTCCGCTTCCCTACCGACTGGTCAAACACCTCGCTGGGATCCTGCCAGGACTGCATGGAAAGCACAGCTACCGCAGAGATAGGTGTTGTCTTTACCCCTGCTTCCTCCGCAGGGAGCCCACAACTAAGCCTCTTACCACTTGGATGAGTCACGACACCTACTGTGTCTTCCTACACCATACAGGAGATAACCTCATTCTCACGTTTTACTGCCGCCGCAGCTAACCTCTCAAAGACGGGACGCTCTGCCTCCAACTTCTCCCAAAAGTCATTGCGCAAGTTGTGCGGTCTGTATGGACTCATGTGACACACCAGTGTCACAAAGTCGGGAGCCAGCATTACCTCACGGCCATGCTTTAAGAAGACACCCTCATTCGGGTAGATCACCACCGGATCTGCTGAAAGCATCGGTAAAATGTTCTTGAACCACCCTGGCTATCACCCTACCTAAATGTGACCATTTAGGGTTGAAGTACCACCTCGTACCCATCCAGGTGCGTAAAGCAAGCAACCCCCCGACAAGCATAGGCTGATAGAGTGGCTTCATCCGATAATTAGTCGGATGCGCAAACCCTTCCGCATCAAATGGACCAAACTTGTCCCGAATCTTGGTAAACCAACTCTTACTCAAGGCGTAGGACTCAGGCTTAGGTTCCACCACCACCGGCTCACTCCAATCGACTCGCTCCTCAACCGGGGCACTCCGTGCCTGCATGATTGGGTCAATGTGGTAACTCACCCAGTATGTGCTTGAGTATTATATCAAAGTCTCTCAGCAACTGAGCATACCGAGCCATACTCCGACCTCTAACAGAAGAATCATACGACAGCGGATCCTTCGTCAACATTGCGACCAATGGCTCGTGATCCGTGTAGATCATGACCGGATGTTGCGACCTCTTGACGATACGCCACGACTTGTGCACACAGTACACAATAGCTAGGGCTTCCTTATCCGTGATGTGATAACCTAACTGGGCTGGGCTGAACTTCGAAGACCAGAACCCTACAGAGCACAACTTCTTCTCTCGCCTGGCGAACAACCCCCCGCCCACTCCTACCGAGTCACACGCGTCGCAGTACATCTCCAACTTATCCTCGAACCTAGGTTCGACCAGAACCCACCTCTTGGCCACCTCAGCTCGGATACGATCTATCGCCTCTTGCTGGATCGGTCCCCACACAAAAGGAACATCCTTCTTGCTGAGATCCGAGATAGATGCCATGATCCTGGAGTTGTCTGAAATGTACTGGCCCCAATACCCTATCGTGTGGTACCAGGACGCCAACAGGTTCTTGTCTGTAGGTGAAGACATGCGTAGAATGGACTCCATCCGATCTTCACTGATGGCGGAACCCTTTTCATCAACCAACCTACCCAACGCCAGAACTGATCGGTCAGAAAAATTAAAGCAACACTCCTTCAAGTTCAGCTTGACGTTGTGCTTCTTACATGCCGCAATCAAAGCCCTGATGCTCGTCCAATACTGCTTGGCATCATTGTCTCCCAACACCCATATCATCAATGTATGTCTTAAGTCCATCAACGCTTCGGAGGGCCTGCTCCATCCTTTGCTGTATAACCCAAGACGCCGGCTTGATACCAAGCGGCATGCCCACAAATGAGCGCTTGCCCCAAAGCGTCCAGAACGTCAAGAGATGCTGCGATCCCTCTGCGACCTTGGGCTGGCAAAACCTTCGCCCAATATTTACTATGGTGCGGTACTTCTTGCCGCGTAACGCCGACAAGAACTCCTGCTCCGTAGGCACTGGATACTTATCACATTCCAACGTACCATTGAGTTTGTTGTATTTATTGCAACACCGCCAGTCATTGACCGACAGCGGTACAACCCCTGGCTTCTTAATGACCATGTGCGGCATCGCACAATAAAAATTTGCTTCAGCATCCGATATCTCACGAGTCACGCCACCATGATCCCAGTCACCAACCTTTCCACCAAGTAACGTGGTGAACAAGGAACCCTTGTTAGGGTAAACATTGTAACACGGTTGCGACCCTTTTCCACTTTGAATTCAACCCCATTACGAAAGCGGATATCATCAAAAACCATGAAAGTGGGGACAGCCGCATTGTATGCCAGAGGCTGGATGTCTTTGAAGATGGTGTCCAACTCACGCTTCGGCAGCCCACAAGCCCTATGCAGCTTCCGTAACTGGGGCTGGTCGAACTCCAAGTGCGCCTGCGGATCCACTTCTTTCGCCGGAGATACAGTCGTCGCGCCTATCGGCATATTGACCTCCGCCAGCAAATCATGAAGACGTAGTAACACATACTCGTCAGCGTCATCTAGCTCTGCCGCGTTGGCCAAGTAGTCCAACCTCTGCTTAATCTCCATAAAGCGCGCTTGCACTGACGCAATGTATTTCTTACGACGCTACTCCTTAAACTCATTCCAATGTACCGCACGTAAGCCCAGGTGGCTATGTAACGTGTTGAGTTTTATGTTCTGCGGCATTAGCACATCAAGCTTTCGCCGCGTGCTTCTAACTTGTGTGCGCCGCGCTCTCGCCCGCTTGCCCGGCGGGCTCTTCATTCCCGGCTGCTCCTCATCCACCGCTTGAGACTTCAAGAAGTCTATGACCTGCGTCTGAGGAACAACTACCAACAAATCCTGCTTTGTCCACATTAAGGATAGGCGCGCTTTCAGTAAGTCCTTGAAGCCAAGTAAGACATCCGTGTCAAACGGCAAGGACATAACAACCAACAGATCCATGGGACGAACAACAGATTCTCCCCCATGTGTCCAAAGTCACAAAAGACTGTACCACACCCGACGGACGGACTCAACCCATTTCCGCCACACCCTTGTACGGGAAACCTGTGTAGCGTGCAACCTTCGAGGCGGGCCCAAGGTATAGGGTTAAGTTAGATGTAAAGGTACCCATCGGCTGGGACCTGAGGGACTCAGAGGGACTTAGAAGGAGTCAGGTAGTCAAGGACTCAGGTTTTGGACCCAGTCGATGAGTTATCATAAATTATGTTGTCATGGGTACGGAATAGTGGCCCAGGTTGTGAGGGAAGCCAAGTGATCAGAAGAATCACCTGGCGACTAATTTTAGATAACTGTGGCAAGGGAATTGTCACACTCTACGAAGCTAGTTTAATGACATAGTGAATAAACATTGTTGTGTGTAAGTTTAACTAGGCGTATATCTCACTCACAATTGAGCTATGTAGCGATTAAGAAATAGACGGTAATCTTTGATACGAGATGTCGAATGAGGGAATAAAAATATTCCGAGGAAAAGAAGATGGTGACTATCATATATGGATAAAGTGTAGTGGTCAGACGATCAAGGAACGAAAAGCGCACAACCCAAGCGGTATTGCTGACACGGAGGACCAGGCTGAACACTACTTGCGACATGGAATCAACGGCGACCCAGGCCAGCATTGGAGCTGCTTTGGGCGATGAGCTTATGGATGTGGGGATGATCGACTTCTTGGTCTTAGCTCACTGTGACAATCATATATCTGGTATCGGGTTTAACATTGATACGTATGCACACATTTGTTTTGGCCGTACGAAGAGCGTAGAGCGGATACAAGCACCATCAACTTGGCAAGAGGATCAAACTCGACTCTCGCCAATCATATGAAACGTGAATTAAATAGGAACGAATCTCCAGCGCCAATATATCGAGCGTCGATATCCAAAACACGCTATATAGTATTCTTTCTACTTATAACGGTGTGAGTGACGTTGCTTGTTCCTTTAATATTTAGAGTTACACATTGTCCCTACGAGATAAAATTCCATCTTTGAGACATAATATTTATGAGAGGAGTGGCCAAATCCTCTAATGTAGCCATTGTATCTGCATTCCATCAACTGCCGGATTTCGCAGGTTCTGCAGTATTCGTGCCATTGGCTATCTTAGCCTGCGAAGTCTCTTCGACAATTTTGAGTAGACTCTCTGTATTTTTGTCGGTAGACTTATTATCATTTAACCATTTCGTGCCGAATCTCCGCCATCTATTCAGATTGGCAGCAGGGCCATTGAGGGTCCTCTGTAATATCATATGAACAAGAGGTTTAGTATCAGAACACAATCAAGGGGACCTATCTGTATTGATAGGAAAGTAAACATCATGACTTGCGGCAACAAGAACGCCTGGAATCGAGGGGATTTACGACGAAAAATGCATGCGAAAACAACAATAACATCAGAAACGACAAATAAGCACACTCCGCTTCAATTGTAGAACAACGATAGCGCTGCCTTGACAAAACAATTTACGTGCACACTGCACTTCGACTGAGGCCGTTGATATTAAGTTCACGACCATGTAATCGCGGCATGCACATGCAGCGATGAGCGATGAAGTGAGTGAGGTCTTTCCCGTGTAATCACATGCCGCCACCACAGTACAATGGAGTACACACACCTTTACTCTCATTGGCCCGCCCGTCCGCGTCTTCGTGACGTAGTCCGATGTGTCGGTCACGTACTTGAGCTTGTACGAATTAATGCACATCTTAACTTCCAGCGCATTCTTGGCGTAGATTGACACTTTCCTGTCGGTGCCGTCCCGGTACTCTGTGGTACACTCGGCCGTGTTGTGCGCCGCTGTCTGTGCATCTGTCATATTCACATCCTCATCTAGGTCCGCCTCAGCAACCGACGCATTGACATTTGGATGTACGTGTTTCTCAATGCCGGTGTCCACGGCACGCCGCAGGAACACGGGCACCTTGAGCATATTACCCGTGTAACTCGAGAGCAGGTTACTTTGACCCATTCCTTCATTCTCGTTGCTATGGTTACCCGTGCCATTAATTCGGCTATTCCCGCGCGACGCGGTCCCAGCATCCGAATCGCCGGTGGTTGTATCCTTATTATTATTGCCATTCCGCCTGCCGTTGCCATGGTGACCACCCGCGGTGCCTCCTCTCCCCACCTTGCCTCTGCCTTTCGCATTCCCGGTAGTGCTAACCGTGTTCCGTTCCTGCGTGTGGTATATGTGGCTCAGCACATACTGAGACGTGATGCCTACGGGTTCTGAGGTCACCATCACTACAGGCGTGGCGGTAGCGTGACTTGTCTGCCCCAGTCCTTTCTGGGGCCGGACGGGTGCTTGATTGTCGACTGTCGATTGCTGCGGCGCGGATGTATCTGTATCTGTATCTGTGCCTGTACTTGCATCCGCACCTGCTTTGGCGACATTATCGCTATCGTTCGCCGCGGAAGGCTTTACAGTGGCATCGGAACTATCCACTGCCGGCGATGGGTCCGTCTTCACAGAACCCTCCACCTCAGCAGCCACAGGCGTCTCCAATCGCGCAGCCTTGACCTCCCTCTCATCGGGCTCTTCATGTGTGTTCGAAACCGTGCCCGTGCTCACCTCAGCCTCCACAATGGTGCGTTTCTTAGCACCTTGTGCGGCATCTCTCGGGATTCTCCGTATACTGGGTACAACAGAGGGCGGGGCGATGGTGGTAGCGTCTGTGTACTTGCTGACATACAGGGACCATTCCTCGTCTACAGTAGACGCATCTATTTGTGGGCTGGATGTTTCGTCGGGGTTGAGCATTCGCAGTCGCGCATCGGATATCTTTTCGGATAGGGCCCCGAATTTCCTCTGTTGGCGTTCATGTATGGGTGTGACAGTGAGTGAGTGAGTGAGTGAGATCTGATGGATCGGGTGGGTTTCCATTTGATATTCCCACTCGCAAATCTTTAAATACACGGTGACAGATGAAACGAGCAACAGAGTCGTGACTTAAGCTCATACTTGCTGATTTATGAGAGTCGTTCTACTACAGCATTCAACGGACGGACAGCTTAAGCTTATCAATTATTGGATGCGCCGAAGCGATACAATACACAAATAGATTTGACCGTAAAGAGAACGTTGTTTCCTCTCTCACGTGCATGTGCATGGAAACAACCTGTGCATATACTTAGCCACTTGTGTATACACCCGAGATATTGTTCATTGACTGGTAAATGCACACTTACGAATTCGACGGAGAAAAGCGAATCATCGCGGATAGAGTGCTCGCAGTTCGTGCGGTAGACAGCCGGGTTGAATGCGGGATACGTTTCCTTACACAGTTGGTTGTAGTCGTACAGACTTAGAAGCTTGCGCGAGATTTCGTCGGTAGTGAGCGAGTGCAGCTGTGTGTAGATGGGCCGAGAGAGGGGGAGGGTAAATGTGTAGGAAAGGTTATTCCTCAGACATCACTATCGAAAGTAGCTCCAAAACGCTTATACAAACAGAGATGGTAGAGGGGATTCAAGTTGTGATACATTCTACAAGGGTTGTTGGGTGGCTAAAGTAAAAGTAAAAGTAGAAGTAGAAGTAGCTGTACAATTGCTTACCTGTCGCATTGAGTTTTGGATCAATCGGTCGATTGTGAACACCTCATGAGCCCGTGGCCCGTACAAGTCGCGTAACAAATCTTCGTAAGTGGCGGAGTCGATGCCATTGTCCAGTAGCGCCTCGACGTATGTGATGAATGTCTTGTGGAGGTGCGCTGGCCTGGGGAGAGGAGAAGGCTCAGAGATTAAGAGACCTTGTGAATAAGTAGATAAGTATATATTTATACTAGGCGTTATACTTGAATATAGTCAGTAGTGGGTAGGACCATGACGACTATATATACAGCGTGTGTTGAGAGGTTATACAGGCAACAAGCAAGGCTTCTCATACATTTGCACACCGTCCGAGTATGTGACCGGGTGGACAGATAACATGGCAAGCTCCATGCGTGAAAGATGTTAATACTACATAAGACTTGCGCATGCCCTTTAACCCCACGATAAGTATGTACTGTAGTAAGATAGATTAGTAGACCTTTCCTGAACTTCGCATGCGACATCACTAGCCATCACTTTCCACACAACAGTGCCCATTAAAATCAACCCTCTCCCACACACATACGCACACACACACATAATTTCACACTGGAACATACTCGACGGTGGGGGCGTGTTTGCGCTTGATGATCACTGCCACCTCTTCATGCGGGTCTTGTTTGGTGAAGCCGTCGTACTCGTGTAGCTCCTTGTACCTGGCCCATTCCTTTAGGGCTTTGCACCGCGAGTAAATGAGATAATGCATCCGCAGGAACGCAAACCAGTGGTTGTTGCCGTAGAACATGTCCACCGTTCGCACCGAGCGTTTCTTGGCCTTGCCGGAAGGCTTGTTTGCGGTGACGGCCTGTAGTGTAGTGTATGTTATATATATATATATATAAATGTGAATATGAGTTTGAGTACCTCGAGCGATGCAATCTATATGTGACTAAATATGAGTGTATCTGTATGCATCTACAAGCGAGTAAAGGTATTTACCACATAGACCCCTATGAAAAAATAGTACATTCATAGATACAATCCGATCATTTACGCCAACAAGCATACGAATATTTCGACAGTCCGCACCAAACAAACTCAACAACGGTTTGTAAGTATGTTCTAGGCCCGAAACACTTGCACCACGAAGATGGCGATCATTTTCCATTGGCTAACACATACCATATCATCGCATTTAAACTGCGTAAACTACGTAAACTGCGTGTCTTGTGCTGTAACCTATGTCGTTTCAACCTGATCAACACAGCGCACACATATCCTCACTCCAATCACAACGCAGATAGCCAAACTCTCCGGATACCTACCGAGGCCTGCACCAATGGGTTTATAATCGTGGGTTGGGGTCCCCTGTAGTGCCCACTCCTCCCCGTAATCGACCCGTTTTCAAATTTCCTGCCCATATAAAACCCTTTATCGACCCCTTTCTCCAGCCCACTTTCCGAGTTTGACTTAATTCCGTTGATATTTTCGGACTTTCTGGGACTAGAGGGGTTTGCAGTAGCCGCCACGGCAGTGCTTGCGGTGCTGGTAGTTTGCTTGGCTGTGGTGGTAGTGGATGCAGTCTTGCTGGCCCGAGTCTTTGTGGCAGCTATGGAAATTAGGAGCAGGAGCAGAACAACACCATTAGTATGAGAAGGATAAGGACACGAGTAGATATAAAAGTGGCATGCGCGTATTATATAGCCCTATCACTGTTTCTCCGACAATGTGACAGGATGGATATAACCAAAGAACGGCACAGCCACCACACATGCGCATGCGCATGTGAACACCACTGCAGGTCTACAGATATACGAGACACTCATCCAGAAACAGACACACCAGCAACAGCTCGCACGGACACACAAGCGGGCACGTGCATGGCAATATAGGGGGATAACAATGCAAAGCGAGTCATCCACTCTTTACATTGGCAGAAAGGTAGGTAAGTAGGTAGGCAGCGGACGTCACAGACAGGACTTATAGGACACAGCGGTCTGTCAACCGCTCATGCATAGATGGACGATGCCTATACGTTGCAGCCCACAATGAGACGCAGATATGTACGTGCCGAGTAGCACATGCTCTATGCTCCCACTACACGAATGAGAGCAGCAGAGCAATACAGTTATGTGTGGGGAACACCGTACAGGGCGTAGACTCCCGCCTGACATACAGCTGTAAAGATAATGTGATATAGCCCGGATAACGGCACTGAACCAAACAATACCACCATGTGTAGGTATAGTCAGAGTGCCTGCTAGTTAGAGCCGAGACAGACATCTTGTGACTACTCAGCACTCACAATGCAAGCGCAGTTCTTTGTCAATATATATTCATATTCATACATGAAGCATAAACAATGCACTAATATACACCCACTATAAATTTACCACTACAAGTTTTATACCACAGACCACACCACAAATCATATATAGTATTTGCCACTATATGTAGTTTAAATTAAAACACCAATACGTACATAGGCGTAAAGATACGTATATATATATATATATACATATACATACATACATACATACATACATACATATATACAATTCAACACTATACACACGTGCAAGAAGACTTACTGCCATTTGGCAGGGCAGCGGGTGACACACTGCGTTCGCTATGCGGCGGATGGGTCAGCTTCTCGCGGTCCATTGGCTCGGTGCCGATCAATCTATAAATAGTCCAAGACACATGCGACAAAGTCAATACCAGTGCGTTTGGGACCCTCGCGCCCGTTTGGTTCGTGAATCAGGTCATTTAAACAAAACTTTATGAAGCTAGAAAGACTAGTTCTGTAGTTTGTAAGAGGGCGTGGTACCAAGTGTAGATAAAAAACCCTAAACCCTAAACATGCTTAGAAGTCGGCATACACGGAATAAAAACCCTAAACCCAAACTAATAGTTCAATTATTTCGGTAGATCAAACTAATAGTGCAATAATTCGTTCAATCGGACTATTAGTTCAATTATTTCGTTCGATCAGACTGGTAATTGCAACAAATGCTATGGCTCTAATACTACATCCGCTGTGCTGGGCTGGAAGTCAGAGCGATATAGAACATCACAGTCAGGAGGAAACAAAGACAGCCACGGGACAAGACAGGGATCAAATAGCTCCTTACACAAACACACGAGTCAAAACCAAGATCAGACTCGGATGTGATACCGCATATATACATATATATATATACATATTGTCATTTTCCAATGGCATTTGTGTGCAGCCGCACGGTGCCCAGTACTCTGATGTGATACTTACACACAGGACGACAACGCACACAACTACACGGGTAGAAACACACATTGGAAGACGTAAGAAACTACTATATATATATATATATATATATACATACATATACATTATACATAGAAACACAAACACACACACTATATATATATCCATATCACTCAAGTCAAACAATCAAACAAATCCCGCACATGATAGAGTGTGAGGAGCTGAAGGCGTTGCTACAGATGTACTGGTACAGTGAGAGAAATCGCATCCTATGATGAAGGGAATGAATAGGATCTACGGGGGAAATGGCACTTTAACAACAGGCTGCATACAAAACACAAATAGATAATCCACAGTACAGCCACAGCCACAGCCACAGCCATATATATATACATATACATATACATAGCGAGGATGGGTATCGACATACTTGCACAGGAAATTGCACAGCAGATGGCTCATCTTCTGTCGGTCTGAGTTGCTGAAGCTGTTGGGGCAGTTGAAAAGGTAGTGGTGCATGAGCCGTGCCACCTCCTGCAGCACCTCTCTGTCCTCGTACGTGTGCGTGTAGTGCGGTGCCTCATTCGCACTCGCCTGCGTAGTCTCCTCGTTGCGCTTAGCCTCCACTTCCGCAAGCATACTCTTCACGGAGATGGCTTTGCGGTCGTTCTGTTTGAACGTTGGGCCTTGGTGGTCCAGAGACTTGGCGTGGTTCTTCTCGGTGGTGGCATCCCACACTTGGTCCCAGCCCACTTTGGCTGTGCGCAATTCCTCGCACTGGTTGTGGTAGGGGGTACGTTATGCTATCAACAGGCGTGTACAGGAGCATATGTCGATTAGGCACGCCTACACGCGTACACACACGCAAAAATACACGCATATATCTATGCCTATATATACAAAAAAAACACACATACATAGGCACACACACACACACATATATATATATATATATGTATATGTATATGTATATATATATACGCCTTCCAAAGAAGACATACGGCCATCAACTGCAGTATGCAATACTCCCAAGTGCCAATGATCCAGCAACGACCGTCATCGAGCGCACACAAACACACGCAAGGGGCAAGAGTAACACATGCACACATAATGTGTTTAAAAACACACACATAATAACCGTAAACGAGAACCAAACCTTCTGCTTGAGGCGTTTCAGGACAATCGGTACGGCCACGGCAGTGTTTGTTCGCAAACCATCGATGATTTCCGGCGTCTTCTCATCGTATATCCGTTTGAGAGCCTTCTTGTATATAGTCTGCGTGGAGGACAGTACAGAAGCGGCCGATATGAGGGATGTGATACTTGACCTCATAAAAAAATTAGGAAAAAAGGAGAAAAAAAATGCTGTGTCTTTGACTATGAATCGAGCTGAGTTTGAATCTTGATAGTGTTTGGACGCAGGTGCAAGTATTGCTAGGGTCGCTTCAATAGTTCATACTAAAAATTGGGGTGTAGAACTGCAATAGTATACTTGATGAGTGCCTTATACCGAAATTTGTATATACTATTGAGGCTAAGCTCCTGATCTACCCCTGCAGATGTCTTCGAGCATCTGTACGCTGACACGCGAAGGGTCATATACGCATCGCATTGAATAGCAGTAGATTGAATACATTTAGAAAAGATAAAGTGTATGGAAATATCAGGATGGGCGATGCACAGGGTACGCGGCCATTGCACGTAGCTATGTAGCACTGGCGTAAACACGCACGCACACACGCACATTTATATATATAGATATATAGATATATACCAGTCGATTCTAACGCCATCTCAACACACAAATATCTACCCCCACCCACACACCCTCGAGGACCCTCCCAACTTGTCGTCCAGCCGCAGTGCCGCTGCGTCGGCCGGAGACATTGCAGTGAGTTTCTTGGCTATATATTCCAACACACGGATGGTGTCTGTCAGCTCTCCCAACAAAGTGCTCATTTCGTATCGGGCTTCTTCGCATATGGCCAGCTGCTCCTCGTGAGTGTTTTTCTGTGGGGATTTGGGTTAAAAAACGTATGTATGTATGTATTTATGTATGTATGTATGTATGTATGTATCAAAGTATGCATGTATGTAGGTATGTATATATCTATGTATGTATGCATATATATATGCATGTAGGTATGTACGTATGTATTTATGTGTGTGTTTTTTGGTCTGTGTGGCGACTCTAATACGAATGCATGTAGATCTATGCACTATTGCGGGGTTTACATTTAGAGGCTTGTTCAGGTGTGTGATTTGCATTCGAGACTATGCCTAGCTGCTTCGTGTGCGTGTTTTTCTGTAGGGAGTATATGAACGTGATTGTGATTGTGGTTTTGTGTGTGAATTATGTTCATTTTCTTTACTGCGAGGGGGGGGGGGGAATTCACGTGCATTTGTGAGTGTAAGGCTTTCTGTCAAAGTAGTCTTCAAGTGCGTATTTGTATATGCAATCACATCCAGGACGTTTAGGTGAGTGTGTGTATGCCGAGGTCGTGTTCAGCAGAGGGTTAGCGTGTGCGAAGGGAGTCTCCACGCACATATGAATGTCGATGTAGTTCCATGAGTAAGAGCGTGTGCGTGTTTTCTTTGTGTAGCTAGTTTCACATATGCATTATTTCATAGAGATGATGCACAGGCGCGTCGTTTGCACCAGCAGCCAATACATCCGCAAACCACCAACCCCAATCGAAGGAAGGAGGACAAGGGTCGACCACTTGGCTATGCACAAGGACCAAGTCCCTCAACAAGACAGTGACTAAACATTCTCTCAACACAACAAGACAGTGACTAAACATAGCACATAACATTCGCAGATACCACCAACCCAAAGTCATCGCAATGCCATTCCCCCATACAGTGCAACGGAGACTGCTTACCCTGCTATTCACAAAGTACGAGTCTTCGGACGAGGTGGCCGAGGAGACCCAGATGTCGTTGAGCACCGACTGATCTGCGGCTGTGCGACCACTGCACTTGCGTCCTAGATGGGACTTGGGCAGGGCACGATAACTGTAGCCGTACCGCTTACAGGCCGTGAAGTCTATAGCGGGAAGCAAGGATAGAACATCGCGGGAAATGAGACAGTAGTGTGGAGATGAGCCTGAGTACTAATCCGACAGACGTAGGCATAATACACGTCTATGATACATCGGATCAAACACAGCTGTTATACAGAACACTCACATACATTCCCCACACCCACAAGACAAGACATTCGTTCATACACACAGCTCTCCACAGCTGCCCGGCATGGATACACACACCATCTGAACCACAAGCCTGCTATAACACATACTCTTACATACACACACCCTCTGAACCACATGCCTGCTAGAACACACACTCTTACATACACACAGGGGCGCAAACACACACCATCTGAACCACAAGCCTGCTATAACACACTCTTACATACACACAAGGGACAAACACACGCCATCTGAACCACAAGCCTGCTATAACACACACTCTTACATACACACAGGGGCGCAAACACACACACCCGCCTCGCTCAGAGAGGAAGCACCTACCGATGAGACCGGTGGCACTCTTGTCGTTCTCAAGATCCCATAAGGAGGTGAGGATATTCGGATTCTGGTCATTCGGCAGAGGGGCGGGTTCTAGGGCATCGTCTTCCGTCACCTCCTCTGGCGCACTAGTAACTTCTGGCCCGGTTGTGCCATTCGGCTGCACAGCCACATCGAGGCCACTGCCGCCACTTTCCTCGGCGGCAGCAGCAGCTCCGTTCTGATTGGCCGCCACGCTTGGTAGGTGTTTCTTGAACCAATCAAACAGCTCCGGGTGAGGGTTCAGGAACGGTTCTACCATACTCACCAGCTCAGACTCGCTCACGGCCCCAATCTCGTACAACTTGGTCGCCCGGATGAAGTTGTCCATGGCCTTCTGGTTCTTCAGCGCCGCCTTGACCTTGGAGAAGGACACCAGTGTTCCGTATGTGCTGCACTCGGGTATCTTGATATCACTGCTCAGCGCCTTCTTCCGCTTGAGCGGGGGTGGGCTGTCCTGTGTGCCCGTCTCCCCATCGCCGTTCTGCCCTCGGTTGCCCGCACCCAGTCCCAATCCTATGGGTGCGGGTGCAACCTCCGACCACGTGGTTTGCTGCTGTGGCAGCGGCGCCGCACTGGAATACCCTGGATCAAATACTTCTTGCCGGGCCGTTTTGCGTTTCCCATTGGCCTTCCCACCTCGCCCAACCCCGCTCTTACCAGCGCCCTTACCCCCACGGCCCCTCCCGGACACCGTCCCGGTATGAATCCCGCTATTCACCCCGACGAGCCTCTCCTTCACCAGCTCGTGCCGGCTATTTGCATCCCTGGCAGCCTTTGCACCCGCCACCGCATCCCTCTCGCGCTCTCTCTCGCGCTCTCTTTCCCTCTCGCGCTCCCTTTCGTGTTCGAGTTCACGTTCACGCTCGTGCCGTTCCCTCTCGCGGTCGCGCTCACGGTTCTCGCGCGCCATGTTCATCTCGCGGTCGTTGTACTGCTGCGCGTCCATGTCCATGTCCTCGGCACTAAGCAGACCCCCGTCGCGCATGTGTGGCTGAGGTTGGTTCTCATACATGATACGTTCCTCGGTGTTCAGTGTGTTGTGGTATGGTCCGTGGTTGGTGGGGAGGGGTGGCGGCAGAGGCCCCTGCCCGCCACGGGCTACGCTTTCGGCATATGGCGCTGCCTCGGGTAAGAACTGGGAGAACTCTTCCAGCAAATCGAGGTTGGAGCGGAAGAGATGGGCCACCTGGCTGTACACCTCTTTAATTGTCTGCTGCTCCTTCTGGTACGTGTGCAGGATCTCCAGGAAGTTCTTGTAGATCTCTGGAGACCCGGCAAACCGGGTTTTTATCTTGTTCACATAGTTTATCGCGTGATTGAACTCCACGGGCGGTCGTGCGGGTGGTACGTTTCCCCCCACACCAGCCGGTCCCTGCATACCCTGTGGCTGGGGCGGTTGCTGTGGATGTGATTCAATCTGCCCCTGGGCTTTGGGCTGGGGCGGGCCCTGTGTCTGCTGCTGCGGGGACTCGTACTTACCTACCTGCCCCTCATACTTCACCCCCCCTTGCTCTCCAGCCGGCTGTTGGTACAGTGCTATCGACTGGCGACCAGACGCACCTCGAGGACCCCCTGGCCCGAGTGCAGGTGCATGTTGCTGAGCCTGTGGCGGTTGCGATGGTTCGCTCGCGCTTCCCTGTCGCTGCTGTTGAGGTGCTGTTTGTGGCTGGGGCTGTTTTGCCGGTTGCACCTGTGGTTGATGCGGCTGGGATTGTATGTTCTGCTGTCCTGGGCCACTACTGCTCTCGCGCCCTGCACCTGCACCCATACCACTCAGGTGCGGGCCCAGCCCCATCTTCTGATCTCTGTACGCAATGGGACGACCCTGCTGAGGCGCCTGGTGCGGGGGTGATGTTTGTACTGGTGGCTGCTGCGCTTGTCCTGGTGGCATCTTAGCCATAGGGGGTCTTCTCGGACCGCTCCCACCACCACTGACATTCCCGGATGGTGAGTTCTCATGCGGCTGTACCGGTGTTTGGGGCTGTGCCGGTCCCTTCAGGGCGTGCTTGGGCCCCTTGAGGTCTGCATTGGGCTTCTGCGGTGGGTTGCCAGAGGGTGGACCACCCGCTGGCCCTGCCTGTCCCTGTGCAGGTGCCTGTTGCTGCGAGTTGCGCTGATGGGGTGGCTGCTGTTGCTGCTGCTGCTGTTGTTGTTGTGGATGTGGATGAGGGTAGCCCTGTGCCTGTGTGTGTGGCTGCGGCTGTGCTCCGTAGTGCGGCGATTGCCCGCCAACCCCCCCTCCCATACCATACCCACTCTCGCGCCTACCATCAGGCCCATTTAAAGGCCCTGACCCACCCATCGACAGTGACGGTTTACCTGAATGCTGCTGCTGTGGCTGTTGTTGTGTGCGCTGTTGGTGTTGACCGGCAGGCAAGTTGATTCCCTGGGGCTGTGGGCCCTGTTTGGGTCCGTGTGATGGCCCCTGCCCTTGCCCAGCACCGTGCCCCGGGACATTAGGACCGTTTTGTCCGTAAGGCCCGTGATGCGGTGACTGCGAGGGTTGGGGCTGTAGTGGGGGTCCGTTGGGGCCCTTCTGCATCGCCAATTTCTGTTGTTGCTGCTGCTGTTGTTGCTGTTGTGCGGGTATACGTGGTGACCCGTGTTGGGGCTGTAGCGGCTTGTTGGCTCCCCCACCCACACCCGGGCCTTTATTGCCCGGAGCCATGGCAATGTTTTTCGGTGTCTGCTGCTGGGTGTGGTGGGGGTGTTGCTGTGGGGCTATGTTCGCATGCGGTGGTCCAGGTTGATCTCCAGCCGACATCGGGCCAGTGCCTGTGGTGCTGCGTCTGATGGCCTTTTTGGGGCCTTGGTTTCCACTGCCGCCTATTTGTGCGGGAGAGGGGAATGCGCGAGGTAATTGTTGAGACCACTGTCAGCACCTGAAAAACAAAGATTAAGCTATACAAACAAAAGTAAGTTTATACAAACAAAAGTAAGCTATACTAGCCGACTGGTATGATGTGGCGGCCTGTCCCTACAAGACTTTCAACTATACATTTCTAACAATTCATTTGTCTGCCTTGTAGATCTCATATCTGGACGCCCAGCAGTCTTCTTTCGAATTAGACAGATAAGTACTACACCAACTATCGCGTGCCGTGCTCTCCATACTCTCATTCGAAGTCGAACACTACACCAACCACAAATGTACGTGAAAATTGATGTGAAACCACATACACACCCTTTTACATACCTGGTGCAATCGCAATAGGTTTGGCGTCGTGGCCCGAGCCAGATCCAGGCCCATTAGCCCCCATGACTGGTCTCTTATTCTCGCGCTTGATGTCTGTGTCACCCATCGGTCCCCTTCCTGGGATAGGCCCTTGACCTGGACCCATAATGCCCATGCCCTGGTGCGCTGTGTAGGTTAAGAAGGTTTGTGTAGTGTATGAAATGTATGCAACACTATATGTACAATATTAGGTATGCTATGTGCCCGTGTATGACGAGCTTCTAATGCCGGCTGCAGACTCGTGAACAGGCACAAGCATCTGAATAGTCCTGCTGTGCTCACGGAAAAGTAGTACCCTTATCTAGACATAAGGGAAAGAAGTATACCCTCAATTTCAATAGAACTTATTCGCAGTTGAAAAAAATCCGCACCTCGGTCAAAGAACTACATAAAAACGAGACAGTGGAGTCTCACACCGCTCTATCGCGAAGCAAACATGAACACACTCCGTACTGAGTTTGTGTATCAGTGATCTATTGAACCTGCACACACCGCACGCACGTTCCCTTCTCTGTAAGTTGGGTTGCTGCACTGCATGTAATCTCCTAAGTGCTTGTGATAAGCTTATACTGCAGGTGGCATACACATACCTGCTAGGGGTGGTCCACTGACCATCGGCCCCACAGGCATATACACGGCTCGGCCGTCCTGCATTTGTCTCATAAGCGGCTGCCCATTTGCACCGATCTCGATTTGATATCCCGGTGGTAGGAAAGTATTGAATCCTCGAATTAGCTTGGGTCGACCCTGAATGGAAAGCGTGCAGAAGTCAACAGGTCAATACAATACGGACTCACAAAAGCAATCACATGCAGACGCGTGTACATAAAACAGAAACAGACACAGATTATCACACACATGTTTAGACATACACATTGGATATTCATAAATTATATATA